GAGAGAGAGAGAGAGAGAGAGAGAGAGAGAGAGAGAGAGAGAGAGAGAGAGAGATGTGTGTGTGTGTGTGTGTGAGAGAGAGAGAGAGAGAGAGAGAGAGCATACTGATGCCGCGCTTTCTTTGAAGCCAGTGAATGAATATTTTTAGGGGCTTGACTGTGAAGAGGCGATGATGGGAGACTTCGGATACATGTCAGCAGACGAATTGTTCGTGGGATACGTATTCGAGTTCGTGAAAGATTTCAGTATCAGAAAAGAATCTGATCGTTGTCTGATCAACGACTGGATCGAACCATCATCTGATCGTTGTCTGATCAACGACTGGATCGAACCATCATAATTTGCGACGTGATCTACGATTGGGGAAGTATTCTACACGAAGGAAAGGATCAAAGGAGGTAGATCATTGATTATTGATTTTGTGGTGATTATAGGCGGCGATTATTCACATCTCGAAAATTTCTGGCTTACGTGTCTGATGGCTGGTGCTGCTGTTGATCATGATGACGCTGATGACGATGGTCATGATGTTACAAGGATTCGAAGGAACGCGTTCTTTCTCATCTGGGTGGGTGGGGTGGTATATACATATATATATCGTCACATAGATATCAGAGCGCAAAAGCGAAAAAATAAACAAAGGAAACAAAAAAATATCAATTCGTTTTAATATTCTTCCTTATATCATCAAACAGAGCTGGCCGGTAAACCGTAGGCAGAGAGGGAGGGAGAAGAGGACATCAAACGAGGGGCTGTGACAAACTGTTTCGTCGGAGTTTCACCGACTCATTAGGAGGCTGAACCCTATATATATATATCTCGTCAAACAGAGCTGCCCGGTAAACCGTAGGTAGAGAGGGAGAAGAGGACATATATATATTTCCTTTTGTTTTTTTCGCTTTTGCGCCCTGATAACTTTGTGACCATACATATACAGCCCCTCATATACGTGACAATATATATCTGTTCCCTTCCTCTTTCTTTGCCTTTTAGCCTTTTGGCTGTGTGCAAGTGGGTCGATATGACATACGGGGGTGGGGGCAGCCGCCGCTCAACCTACATCCACGTGGGCGGCCTTGTACGCAAGAGGACGTTCTGAACAGGGGGAGTTGTAAGTATTGTTTTTCTTCAGTTTTTTTTTTCGCTTTTGCGCTCTGATATCTCTGTGACGATATATATCTGTTTGACGATATGTACTTGTCTTTTTCGCCTTTGCGCTCTGATACTTCTGTGACGATATATATGAAACTCCGACGAAACAGTTTGTCACAGCCCCTCTTCTCCCTCTCTACCACCTACGGTCTACCGGGCAGTTTTGTTTGACGATATATGTAGAGGAAGGACAAAAAGATGAGCGATAGTGAATGAAGTTCGATACCATTGCTCCGTTTCTCCTTTTTTGCGAAAAGGGACCTGGCGGTGGCAATGATATATATACATTCGTGTTTCCCAGGTGGATCACCAAATGATCAGCGATATGCTGCATCATGCTTAAGGGTGGGGGGTTAGAGCAGTGTCGTCCTTGAAGACCGACTCTCACGGTAACATCGAAGACGGACCTGCTTATGATGTCTAGGGGAGAAGCACGATGTGTATGGATGATCTGGAATAACAAAGTAAAAGACGAGAGAGTGGTACATGCCTGTTGAATTGGATTTTTTGAAGATCGGAAAAGATTGTACAAAGTTATTGGTGACGGCCAGGTTATCTTTGTGCGCGATGTCTAGGGTTGGGGCCATAACGATGTTAGACAGAGTGTTTTTTGCGGAAGCATGTGGACTCTTTGTTTCTCTCTCGCTCTCTTGTGTCCACTTTTCTTCAGAGTGTGTTGCCCATTTTTTCTCATCCATAGATTCCCCTGTGCCGTTCAGACCGACAGTTCTGTTAATCTCCCCAACCTCGCCTAGGTAGACTTACGCCGAGGATTGCTTCCTGCATTTCTTTGTCTCTCTCTGCTTCTCTGTGTCTGTCTCTGCCTCTGCCTGCCTACCTCTCTGGCTCTCTCTGGCTCTCTGTGGCTCTCTCTTGCTCTCTCTGGCTCTCAATGCCTCTCTCCCTCTCTCTGGCTCTGGTTCTCCATGTTCTGTTCTTGAGTTCTTGGGTCTGCCCGTTATCTTCCCGTTTCTGCTGGTGGCGGGCAAATGAGCGAAGTCGCCGGCTTCCCGCAGGTCTCGTCTCTGACTGACACGTGTAACAGAGTGGAGGGGTTGATTGTCATGTTTCTCCCTCCGTCCAAAAGATCCGTATTCTCATTGATTCGCCTCATGTCCAGCGCTGAATCGCGCCGGCTGTTGGTAGGTTGTATACCCGCAGAAGCGCGCTCTTTTAACGGAATCTGTTGTGCTGTTTCGGGCGGGAACTGGATCGGGAACTGGATCCAGTTCCCGCCAATCCAGTTCCCGCCAAACCCTTCTCTGACGGGAACTGGATCAGAAATCCCCGTGCGTTCGAGACCTTCTCTCAGTTAGATGAGCGATCGGCTGTAAAGTGATCGGGCGAATGGCTTTCATATTCTCTCTCTCCTCTGGTCCCTCTCGTCTTGCCTTGTGACCTCGTGTGTCTTCTTGTCTGGTGGCCTCGTGTACTTTCTTCTCTTTTCTCGCCGCCTCTCATTTTCTCTCGTCTTCTCTCGTCCTCTCTCGTCTTCTCATGTCCTCTCTCGTCTTCTTTCGTCTTCTACCATGCTTTATCACCCTTGAGTTGAATGTCAACGCTGTGTGGACTGCCTGCCTGACAGTTGTTGTCGGATATCTGCAGTCACCGACGGTAAGTGCGGCGTCTCTCTGACCTAGTCTTTGCATCGACGGCGGGTGCCTTCCCTCTGTCCCTCGTCTCTAGCCCCTGCAACCGGGCTTGCCTTTTTTTTCTGGTGCCTCCCTCTCCTTTCTCGTCTTCTCTCGTCGTCTCTCGTCTTCTGTCGTCTTCTCTCGACTTCTCTCGACTTCTCTCGACTTCTCTCGACACGTCTGCATTTCTCGCGACTTCTCTCGTCTTCTCTCGTCTTTTCTCGTCTTCTCTCGTCTTCTCTCGTCTTCTCTTGTTTTCTCTCGTTTTCTCTCGTCGTCTCTCTCCTTGCTTGGCCGCTCCTTTGGCCTTCTCTGATCATATTAGGTGGCGTTGTCCCTCTGCTATCTTGGGTCTGACAAGCAATCTGCTTCGTTGTGGACGCTGTCAGGGGTTTTGTAGGGTTCGGTAGATTGGCACGTTTCCTACATGTCCACCGCTGTTGGTCCCCCTTACCCCGTTGTGGACGCTGTCAGGGGTTTTGTAGGGTTCGGTAGATTGGCACGTTTCCTACATGTCCACCGCTGTTGGTCCCCCTTACCCCG